GTGTTATTTAAAGATTAATGTCCCTACTTTCGATAGAGACTACGCTGTGGGAAGGATTTTAGCGGATAAAATTTCTGTGACACTTCAAACAAAGTTCCCTCAATTTTGCCAGCCGCTGGTAGGGGCTGAGTTCCTCACCTTTCTAGTTTTATATATTCAATTTATTTTTTGATAGACGTGCCCACCACCTATGAACAGTGTGATGGGAACTATGTACTGTAGTTGGGTTGGAACACTACAGTAAGTAGGTCAGAGGAAACCAACCGCTTCGGGGAAGAGTGCGGAAGGAACAATTTCAGCAAGCAGAGCATCGTCAGAAAATTAATCAGTACATTTTTTATTAATTGTTTACTCACAAAATACATGCATCAAGTTTTTTCACATTCATATGGCGTCACTACGGTATGAATGAAAATGCTAGGGGTCGCTGCCAAAACATTTGCATATGAATGAAATGTGAATGAATGACATCCAAATAAGGAGATATCATCTGCCATATAAGGACAGAAAGACTATATATAGTCATAGATGGCGTATGTATCGATAGTGCAGTTCCACGTTAAGCAAATTTCGTAGTATGCGCGACCCCTAGACACTTTTTTCTTTGTGATGTCGTAATGTTTTATGTGTATGATATATACTTTTTAAACTTTGCCTGGATTGAGATAGCATACTGTAAAAAACATTAACATGTAACCAAAATATCACTTGGGTTACAAACGCATTTTGACAAACATTTTGAATATACTGAATACTACACAGTGATGAACGAAAATATCCGAATAATTAATTCTATAAAGAAATCCGAGGCACATCGAATTAGCTACTTCTGTCTTTTTCGTGTGTCCTATTCACAAACTCATATTAATAAGAATTGTATTTTTAATTTCCCGGAATTGGAGCCGATAAAGAAAGAAAACATTAGTCAATAACATTGCGAGTGTTTTGTTACAAATGGGGTTAATCACAAATATAAAAACAAGTGGTTTTTCTTGATATATTTTAACATTGTGGGAGAAAGCGGTCCCAAATCTCGTAATGGTTGATTATTATGTTTATCTAACTCGCTTTTTTCAGCATTCAATAACACAAATATCTATTGACAGATAAACGGAGATTGAAGTCTAGCGTACAAGTACTTATGTAACCTATGACCTCTTCCCTTGACCAACTGACCCATGTAACCTCTGACCCAACTGGCGATTTACTAACGCTTGATCAGATATGAACATATGTGTATCTCCAGTAGAATAGTATGTTCTGCGTCGTTTGTGTGAACTTCACTTTATTTTGAGAGAACCCATGTAACACAAGAAATACAAAAGGTAAAAAAAGGATAATCTGCCTCGGATGTAAGTAATTAATGTAAGTAAGCTGTAGAGTAATTATGACTAATCAACATGTAAGAATTGACCATACGAGACGCAATCACAAACAAGATATCAGTTACTTATAAGACGTAAGTTAAATTGTTACTTATTCGTATTTAAATAAGTGCAAAGTTTACCTTTCAATGCTGTATTTCAAGATAATTATGTGTTTCAATATCGTCAAAACTCAAACGATGTTGAAAATCAAATGAATTTACTGATATACAGCATATAAATCTATTTTTAGATTTGTTTACGGTCTGTCCGCTATCATGTCGAAGAGGTCACTGACGTATCAACGCTAGTGTATAAAAGGACATTGGTCACCTTAATCCGGGGTATTAAGCCTTTGACCTATCCAGTTATTTATTAGAATAGAACTTCGTTCCAGACCGTAATTACAAAAGGCAGTTTCGAGTGTTTAGTTAGTATATTGGCGAGATATATAAAAATGCAACCCCTTCTGGATACGTTCTTGTGGTAAGGGAAACCAGACACTCAGCTTTATAATGTCTTCCGTTTTTCTGTTTTACTTATAGTTTCATTTAATGACAAAAATATTATTCTACATTATGCAAAAAGGACGAGGAGACGAGACAAACAAACAATAAATAAATAAACCTTACCTAAAGCAGAAGACATTCTCCCGTTGATTCCAGGTTCTTCAGTAAAGCACGACTGGAGATGGTGGTATTGGCAAAAAGAAACCTTTTAATGACTGATGTCATCCGATTCACAAACATTTAACATTTTCAAATCTCAAACTGAATAGGTCCAATTCAAGTTGACAATACTTAACAGTTCCAATAGTATTTGCCTTATAATCGAGTGACACCATCTTACATGTGTTTTTTGATAGATTTATAGATACTATAAAATAAAGCAAAAACGTTCCCTTGGTTTCATCTAATCTTTCGTAATAAAAGGTCAGAACACCAATTTTCAAGGGTGATAAACGCTCTGTAACGTAACAAAACTTCCAATGATACATTTTCATGTGCTAATGACTTAATAAAACTGATTAACTGAAATGTACAATGCATGTATTCTAGAGTGTGGTTACATAATAATGTACATTTCGCCTGCAAAAGTAAAATGATCACGTTTGAGGAAAAAAGCATTGGTATTAGCTGATACTGATGACGAATACATAAGGTTTAACCAGGATTATATTTGGAGTGATACGGCTTGTACGAAAAACAGTGTGCAATTTTCAGAAATCCAGGTCACAAAAGCGCGCAAGGTTTGTGTTCTTGTTTTGGTCGTAACACTCCTAAAACCTAGCATGGTTATTCCTTAAAACTGAATTTTCAAAGACCAGACCACACTTTTAGTTAATGAGTTAATGAGTATTTGTTCTTTCCTCAAAAACAAAAATACTAGCAGTAGTGTACACAACACACAGCATTGCGTTGTAGTGTCACTATCGAGCAGCCTCAACTAATCTGAAATTAGATTTACAAAAAACGCCATTACGTTACACGACGTCCTCACTTTTGGTGTTGTCTTTTGTAGGTTAAATATCTATAAATTAACCAAAAAAGGTCAAAGGTATCAATGGGGAATAGAAACAGTAAATTAATTAGTGATATACCTAAAGGGAACAGTTACCACGGACCTTCTCGTTTCATCTTCGGTGTTAAGCAAAAATACATATATTTATTATCATTATTTTACTTCAATACTGTTGCTGTCCTTTTGCATAAACATTTTTAGTCCGTAGGAATATGTTTCATTCAAATTAGATGGTATTGACAATAACATTTGTATGTTGATATTTTGTGGGAATACAATATGCATTATTTATACTCGCTAAGGTGATGACTTGTCAGGTCAAGTCTGTGTTTACTTAATTCAATAATATGTACATTTTCAAACTGTTACATGATCGCTTCTCTTTATAGAACAATTCCTCATAAAGATTATTTAAATCATCACCACATGTTGTGTTTTATTTCTTTGATATCAGCATCGTGTGCTTTATATCCATGCTGACAAATACTACTGTGATAATAGTATACCGTTAACGGCAATATAAGATCCTATCATCCACAAACTTGTTTTACTGTATATTTTCATTAATAAGTGTAAAGTTATTCATATTTTGTCGCATATAGAATATAGATAATGTAAGGTGTAACAGGCTTAGGTACATGTATACATTCACCTGAATGTATTTGTTCGTGTCGTTTGCAAGTCAATCCGACCAAGGGATATATTTCACAGTCGTCTGTTGCACAGGTTATGGATATATATTTCGTAAATCAAAGGACAGTAATCATTACATAATCTGTTTTAAAGAATGGGCTTCCATTCAAATGATGACTCCAGTCCCGTATGAGCATTTAAGCAAATTTTCGAAATAAGATTTTGACAATTATCAAAACATTATTTTTGTATATTTTGTCATTAGATGATGATTTTGAATCCTTATATATACAATTTCCTATTAAATTTAAGTGTTTTTTGAAAATATACAAGTTGAAATGATTTCGTTAAGTTGTCGTTAAGTTTACCAGACCTTAAACAAGTGGGTTAAGGACTTACTTGCATTTAGAATGCACTATGAAAACAGGCGTTAACCGTGTGTGTTATTGAAACTAACAAAAATCAATATAACCAACATCGGATAAATAGTATTCACAAAAGCCATCAATACATTTATAGCACAATGCAGAGGCAATATATTTTTGTTGGCGATGAACTATCTTACTGACATGCATGCAAGGTACATGAAACCCCGGTTTTATAGTCAGACTCTCTGTCAGTTTGGATAAAGAGAGATTTTGTCTAGCGGAGACGTCGGGAGGAGGCTTAAATTGCAAGAAATGCACATGTTACATGACGAATGATTATGTAAAACTATTTAAACCTAAGCTAATGGAAGTTGTAGGAAGAAAGGAAGTTCATAGATCGGTGCAGAAAGCCAACCCCAAATAACAAAATTCTACACCACGACTGCAAAACATAAATGTAGGTTTAATGCAAATATGTTAATTTCACGATGTTGGAAAAATGCCAAAATACATACGTGATTTAATAAAGCTACAATTTACAATCTTATTCTACACATTTCATTTTATATATATTTTATTGATTAAACAAAAGGATTGAGCAACAGGCTTTGCCTATATAAGCTCCCTCCATGGCTTCCAGCATACTTTTGATATTTGAAGACATTGAATACAATATTTACATACATACATTATATTTCAACTCATCTCATGACACTTGGATACATTTATTGCTAGGCTAATATTCTACACATACATCCACGCAATTGATACTTTCACTGCAGTGAATTATTATTTTTGATGGAGACCAATTTCATGATAATGAAGCGTTTAACTTTAATACCAATGCTTTCATATCTACTATTTCCGACCAAAGGTTTGCTACACAATTTGATCAGAACGCTGTTCCCTATATTGAGTTAAATGAGTTGGAAATTAACACTCGGGATAGGTAAGCAAAGCAGTATGCAAGGTGATGGATTCCGGAAAACTTTCTTGTGGCAATAGTAATTGTGTGTAGGCGGGTTTGCGTATCCGGATAGGGCTAAAGCACGATAAATTTAATTGAATATACATCCTTTCCGTTTATTTGTTTATTTTTAGTTTGTGACAAGCAATGTCTACCGACGGCACTGATCCTCACTTGGACATCGATTTCCACAACAACATCGAAACCAGTAAGAGGATCAGAAAGGAAGAAAACAAGGAATTAACGACAGGAAAGTTTTCGAAAATGAGTACTGACTCTGCATACAGAAAAAAGATAATCAATACGTTATGTATTTACACGTCTTTTATTGCAATGGTACGTATAATATAGATATAGTTCTACTGTATACCGGTAAATTTTCGCTGCAGTTTAATTTTCGCCCTTTTCTCCCTCCTTAATGAGGGCGAATTTATCATTACATCGAAGGTAAGTAAACCGCATAATTAACTTCGTAATTAAATGTGAAGAGCGGAAATAAAACTTGGCGAACTGATATCATAGGCGAAGGGCGAAAGTTTGACGGGGCGAAATTTCCCTGTTATACAGTAGTCATTGTAGTGTAAACTGGTAGGAATAATCATCCAAACAAAAGTGAATGTAAACGCTGTAGCAACATGTTTTGAACAAATTCGTCATTAGCGAAATGATATGTTTTCTGTTCCAGAGTCTTGCAAAAGGTCCTATAGGCCCGTCTTTCCTCGATCTACAGGCGATAAGCGGTGTCGGACTTGAGAGCGGGTCGAGTTTGCTCACAACCCTGTACATAGGGTATATGTTGAGCGCCATTGTTAGTGGATGTCTTTTTGATAAATTCCATCGATCACTGCTACTGTCCGCCGCCATGTTTTTATTAGCATGTGCCACCGTAGCTATACCCTGGTGTTCTATGTATTGGCTAATGGTTATAGCATTCTTCTGCCTTGGTGCCATGGTTGGAGCTACAGATGCAAGTAAGTATATTTTATATCCAAAGTGAAATATTGTCTGAATTATGATAGACACACATATATTGTTGTTATCTATTCATTTTATTGTTGTTTATTATCAAATGATTCATTCACGTGGTACGAATTTCAGGACACGGATGTTTAATGCATATCAGCTACATTACAAGTCAACAAACCAAACCTCCCTCTTAAAAGAAATATATGTGAAAAAGAAAAACGGCTACGCATAAACAAATTATATGTTACTGGCGTAGCTAACAACGTTTTTTTTCAAATACCAATACTTACATGAGTATACAAATTTCAAATCACAAATATGCGTGAAAATGACATACAAAACCTGTCATCAAACACTTAATCTTGTAAACAATGTTCGTTGCAATGAATAGATTCAAATACCTTTTAGACTTTTAAGTGGGGCAAAAGGGAAAATTGAGACCATGTCTTTTCTGTTTGTTTGTTTTCGACAGCTCATTTATATTGAACTATATACTTAAATCATTTAAAAGTGTAATAAAAACGCTAAATGTTGACCTCAAGAAATTACAGCGCTACATGTATATACAGGGCAAACATACAAACCAACGCAGTCACCACAAACCGCATATAGTGCACTGTAGATAGACATCTCACATTGCTTTTATCTATGACAATCTCGGTTTTTTTCTGAATTTGATAAACATTGCTAGATTTGATAAATATCTAGACGTGAAAGAGGGATGTAGACTCTCCGACTAAATCAGCGGTTTTCCTGTGAATACAAATGGGTGTATATCAAAACACTTATGTTAAAATCAGAAACCGTAGGATCTTCGGATCTTTTCAAAAATCGTTATTCATGAGAACCGAAAATTCATCGAGAAAAGTCAAAATAAATAAGGCCGTTTCAATAAAAAGTACCACAGAGCTTCAAATTTAGAAACAACGCTATATGTTGACAGTTTCATTATTATGGTGATGGTTTTTTCACTTATTTTTTCAGTTGCAAACGCCGAAGTCCAGCGTATTTGGGGGAAAGACGGCAAACCATTTATGCAGGGTCTTCAATTCATGTATTCGTTTGGATTCTCCGTCGCACCACTTTTAACGATCCTTTTCCTGGAGATTCCATCAAACATCGACTTATCTAAACTGCATTATCCAGAGCAAAATCATAACACATCACTTACGAATTACTCAACAAGTCTAAATAAAACCGTTTTATTACAAAACAGATCGTCACAAATCGCAAATCACAGTCAAATTTACGAGGATTCCGCGTTTGTTAGGAGTCCTTATATTTACAAAGCGTTTATTATCGGAGGTTGTGTTAGTTTATCTGCCTTTGTAATCCTGCTTGTGTTTTACTGTACATTTGATAGACAGAATAAAACAAACCATAGGGAAACCGAGAGTACGACACCAGCCAAATCAAGACTGCCCTTACGTCTAAGGGTTCTGGGCATATTACACATGGCTGGGATACAAGCATTGCTTTCTGGAATAGACGATACATTGATGGCATTTCTTACTGCGTTTTGTGTTAAAGAGCTAGACTGGACAAAGGCCGAGGGTGCATTGTTGACGTCAGTGGGCAGTTTTGTGGCAGTTGCTGGCAGATTCATCGCAATATTTCTAGTTCAGGTAATTTCTCCAATAAAACTTGTTGGGTTTCACAGTGTGCTAACTCTTATAGTATTTATCGGATTCTACATTAGTACATTACAGAAATCAAACATTGGAATATGGATAGTTTCGTCGTTGTTTGGATATGCAAAAGCTCCTGTTCTTGCTTGTGTGTTCTCTTGGACAGATGAAGTCTTTCTGCCCGTGACTGGCCGAATTTCTTCTATATTTCTGGTATTTATTACAGCCAACTCGGCTAGTAACCCGCTTATTCTTGGCTTCTTCATGGACAACTTCTCAAACATGTGGTTTTGTTATCTCTTTCTTGGTGAAAGTGTATTGTTAGTTCTCGTGGTCGGCTCGGCATTGTTACTGACGAGGCGGGTCAAGACAACCTACGGTACAAATTATGAATCTCGAAGAGTAGATATCAAGGTAACTGAAGACCTTCTTGATAATTAGACTGCCTTTTGAAACAATCTCGACAAGAGGCAAAAGAAAAATAGATGCTTGATGCAACAGTGATATATTTAAACAAACCGGATTATTATACCTTATCTACCTTACATCGTGTCTGCCTGGATTATATTGATCACAAGCTATGATAAATTGTTAGGTTGACCTTACGCACTCGGGCTTCATTGAGTGCGTTTACCTCGTTGCGGTCATTCAAAAAATGAGCAAGATGCTACATATCTGAGTTGAAAGTGACTAAAAAAGACGACGAAAATGGTTACAAATTTGTTCAATTTTTTGAACAATACCATTTCAACATTTGAACATGGACGATTGTTTTTTTCTTGAGGAAACAAAGAATTTGTATACAGCAAGGGCATTGAATGTATAATTATTTTAAAGGGAGATATTATTAGTCAATTATGCGTTGAAAGATGTCCGAGATATCAGAACCTTCTTCAAAGGGGCTTAAACTAGTTCCAGTTCGTATGGATTTTTTTTGTGCAACGGGCATCAATGAATCTCTAGAATATCAAATTTAACAGGAAGGAGATTAAGATGTTTTTCTTATACTGTTGTTATAAACATGTGCAAATTTTACAGGAATAAATTGAGAGATTTTGCCAATATGTATGCTGTTGTCAAAAATTATTAATAACATCTTCACACTATTTCTGCAGACGTTACAAAGAGATATATAAAAAGAGTAACAAATGGGTACAATAATATATAATTATACATATGTATAACCTGCTGGAGGTATAAAGGAATTAAAATGTCAAGTTATCACCAATTATCACCAGTCTCAAAATATGTCTGGTACAAAAAAAAAAGTGAAACGTGTGGTTTGTTATCTCTTTCTTGGTGAAAGTGTATTGTTAGTTCTCGTTCTTATTACGGACGAGGCGGGTCATGACAACCTACGGTACAAATTATGAATCTCGAACAGAAGATATCAAAGTAACTGAAGACCTTCTTGATAATAAGAATGCCATCTGTGACAAGTGTCGACAAAAGACAAAAGCAAATTAATATACTTCACGGTTTTTATCATTTCTATACTGTATACTGTTAGTTGTAAACTACACTATATATTCAAGAAAAGGATTATTACACCTGGTGTATAAATCATCATGCCTGGTTGAATTACTATATTCATCAAATGGCTTGGAAATAACGTCGTGTTTAACTCACACGCTCGAGTTTCCATTGTTATATTCCTCTCATTTCGGGCTCTCTAGATAGATTCGGACTTACTTTTAAAGCAGACGACATTATTAATTGTTCTTTTTCAGTTGAATGAAATTTGTATAGCTCTCTTGCAGCATTATTACCTCCGGGAAACAATCAGCCACGCACCTTACAACACAATCTGATTAAAATCATCTGTTACATGGCTTCGCTAACTTCGTACTACGCCTTGTAACAGATGATTTTAATCAGATTGCTTACAACAAGGGCAGTAATTATGTAATGTATATATAGTTATACTATATTATATACATAGTATATATATAATTAGTAAATCAATTTTAATGCATAAAATCTTGCTAGAGTGGGTTTAAACTAGTTCTAATTTTTATGCAACAAACGTCAGTGAATTTCTTGAATAAAATGAAAAAGGATCTAAATTGTAATGTTTAATTTCATACTTAACCAAATGTTCTATACTAGCATGTAAAAGGTGACAAGGAAAAGCATGAAATTTTTGATGTTATCACAAAAAACAAGAGGCCCAATGGCCCTTATCGCTCACCTGTTTCTTTTGTTACATGAAACTGACATATAGGTAACTTAAGATCAAATTTGGTAACTAGAACACAAGACATTTTAACATCTCTTAAACGGTTCTGAAGATATTGTTGTTTGAAATTTGAATTTTGAATTTTAAAGCTTTTAACCCACAATGACCTTTGACTCCCGAATTGCACTTAAAGTTGACCTTTGACCTCATTACTGTAATAAAGAAAACAATTCACACATAACATACCAAAGTATCATGACTCTAGTCCAAATGGTTCTTAAGATATTGCTGTTTGAAGTTTTGAACATATTTGACCCCTGTGAAAATAGGTCAAGGTCATTTTAATGAGGAAACATTATAGCACTTCATCCCAGGTACCTACTAGATAAATATCATGACCCTGTGCCTTATGGAACTTGAGAAGAAGATTGTTAAAGCCTTTAACCCATGTTGACCTTTGACCCCCGATTTGCACTTAAAGTTGACATTTGACCTTATTACTGTGAATAAGAAAAAGATTTGCACTGCTGGTCTCCATAACATACTCGAGTATTATGACTCTAGTCAAAATGGTTCTTAGAATATTGTTGTTTGAAGGTTTTGAAATATCGGATTCTATCAACTTGATAAAATTGATATCTTTCACACTGTGACAAATATCAAAAGTTATATTTTCACAGTGTGAAAATATCACTTTTTAGTATTGACCAATAACGGTATCTTCTATTCGCTGCATTCAAAGGCACCGATATTTTGTCAAAGATTCACATGAAGCGACGGTAAAATAAGTGGTTGTTATGGTAAATGTTTGGTACACAGACTTAAGTATTTACATATGTATACCAGAAATGACATTTTTATAAGCAATCATACCAGAAAATAGCAGAAAACGTCGAAATTGCGTTGAGAATGCCAATCAAAATGGCGCGTAGCCCTGTTGTCAAGCGTGACGTCATTAGAATATGGCGCTAATAATATCGCTTCTGATTCCCGCCCTTTTTTAATGCATTAGATTTTTCATGTTTTATGCTTTAAAAATGTAATAAATAGAAAATTCAATGGTGTCTTCAGTAATAACAAATATATTTCACTCGTGTCGCTAATATTTTGATATTTTTCACTCGTGCTGCGCTCTTGTGAAAAATATCAAAATATTAGCCACACTCGTGAAATATAATTATTTGTTATTACTGAAGACACACTTAAATATCCTCTATATATTATCACAGAATGAGATCTTCTTTATAAGTTATCTACGCCATAAGACTAGAAGTCAGTCAGGTGTTAAAACTGGATTGGATTAGATTAATTTAGGCCTTTACCTGAGATGACCCATAAAGCCACATTGTGGTTTAATTCCATTGGGGTCCCATAGATCTAAATAAATCAATTCAATTCATAAAATAGTTACATAATTATATAGTATATATTGATAATTTGATAAGACTCTTCTTTTATAAAAAAAAATAGATATGAAATGTTACATGTGCCATAGGCTATAATCAATAAAATAATGCTGGTAATGGAATGATATAAAATATGAAGAGAGTAACAATATATTGGAATTTTAACAATCAAAGATATATAGTATTAGTTAAAATGTTACCTGCCAAAGGGCTGGTGGTTGGGCCAATCCCTACCGACCATACTGGATAATAATAGTTTGAAGATTGTTTACCTATTATATAGTAACATACACTCCGACTGAGCTGTATTTGGAAAAAGTTGGAGCAGTCAACCAAATGCAGCCAAATGCCTCGCAGGGATTCCGGAATGAGTCTGGGTATTATACGTCTCTGGTAGCACGCACACTTCAGAACAAGCTGTGCTGGACTGGTGCTTGGCTGAGGGGAAAAGGCTATGATGTCAACTGTCCTGGAGCTCGAGGTCACCCTGACTGCACAGCCAACACTGACCGATACGACGGCCTTTCAGCGCCGTTAGTAATATATAATGATTCCGGATAGTTCCGGATCCTTTATTAGTATACTGTGTGTTCGCGGATTTGTGATCCGTCGTTTAATTTCTGTTTGTTGTTTCGGCCTCTTCCGGCCGCCATTGTTACCTGATGTTGTGTTAGGACAGAGACCGCGGATTTGTGATCCGTCGTTTAATTTCTGCTTGTTGTTTCGGCCTCTTCCGGCCGCCATTGTTACCTGATGTTGTGTTAGGACAGAGACCTAAAGTTAATTTAGGTCTATGGTTAGGACTGATTTGTTATCAGCAGTGAGCCATTAACTAAACCTTGGCACAGAGCATAGAAAAAAACATTGGAGACCAGCTGACCAGTCAAGGTATTTTGGTCAAGTACGCCACGACTGACGGGGATGCCGGATGGTACTGGAGCCAAAGGCATTGAGGAGGCCATGCAAGCCCCTATATCCCATGTGGAAGGTGGAGAGACTGGCCGACCCAACACATTTAGGCAAGGCACAGTTCATGAAGTCTAACAGTGCCAAGTTCAGTGAGTCCATGTTTCCTGCCCAAACCAGACAGATGAGAGCACATTCCCAGAAAAAAATCCCAGGACCTGAAAGCCCGGAGCAGTCTGATCTTCAAGGACCTGATGTAAAATTACACAATGGAAACATGGAATTATTACAAAACGTTTATCCGCTATGCGTGCTGCTATATATATCGAAGAAAATCTTAATTGGACAACCCAGGTAAAAATAGTTTCTTCCAAATTGGCAATTGTCGTTGGATTACTTAGAAAAATGAGTGGATATCTGACTACAGAAGCCAGGAAAGTGTATTATAACTCGTATATTCTTCCAATACTCGACTATGCAGCTATTGTGTGGGGAAATGGGTTATCAAAAGAGCAAACAACTCAAATTAAAAAAAAAATCAAAAAAAAGCTCTACGTATTATTTTAAATCTCCCTATGTTAACACCAAGTAAAAGCCTTTTTGAGGAAAATAATACTCTGCCAGAGTAAAATACCACACATGTATATTAGTCTACAAATCTTTAAATGATATGGCACATGATTACATTAAAGCTGGTCTAAATAGGTGTACTGACACATATAGATATGGATTAAGATCTACATCTCAACAAAATCTAATATTGCCAAGACCAAATTCTGAATTATTCAAACAGTCATTTACTTACACTGGAGCATTGCTGTGGAATAATTTACCGGTCAATATCAAAAATCGACTACATTTTGTTCTTTCAAGAAACACCTTAGGCAGCAACTGCTATCTCCATATTTTAATGAGTAATGTTATTCACACAGGTAACTGTCAAAATTTACAAAGTTTCTGTGAACGTATTGTTACCTTTTACTTTGATGTTGGTTTTTTTTACATATGCTCCATTATATTAAAACTGTATTCCTCAGGGAAAGAATGCTGTGTGTATGAATAAGCAAAGAGTTTATGTATCAAATAGTTTGTTTACTGTTTTTATCTGTATAATAATTTGATATTATTCACGATACGTTCGTTCAGATATAGACAATAGTGCATGTATCGTTTACCTAGTCAGCAGGTAAGTCTGATTACCAAATATTGTTTATAAACAATAGTAGCGTTCAGTAATCTTACACAATGTTTATTTGTTGTCCATGATTTTGTAGTTAGCATAATAATCTGTTTTAATGTCAGTTAACATGTTTGTATGATGTTTGAGAGGGCCATATGGAAGATTAGTCTTGACCCTCCTTAAATAAAGATATTATTATTATTATAACAGCCTGCAGATGATGAGATGTTAGTGCTGGAACTACTGAAGATGAAACTCGGCACCAACACAGTCCAATCAATGCGACTCAACACATCTACCCAACAGAATGAGGGATGTCACCAGACGCTGAATGTTTCCTTGCCAAAGTACCAGAATTTTGGAAGAAATGCTGAGGGACGGTTGGACAACACAATTTAAACGTAAATAATACCGCGGGCAAGGCCAATCAGCAGAAAGTACAACATCTTGGTGGAACTCTTGAGTAAGGAGGTTCAACATCACCTGGACGAAATAAGCTCAGACGAAACTTAAAAGCGCCAGCGTCAGTACAAACCTGATGTCAAAAAGAGAAATCTTGAGTTGTTGGTGGAACAGCACAGAGAGCACGCAAACAGGTCGAAGTCTGCCAGGAAGTCTGACTACAGTAAAGGTCAACTTGATCCAACACTGCATCAACCCAGGGGAGACAATCAACCTCAGGACCACATGTATTGAGAGAAGAAGAAAATGACATTTTATTTGAGGACTTTTTGAAATCAATGAAAAAAATCCAAATTCAAGAAATATGTAACAAAATAAAATAAAAGTTACATATATATGACTACCTAAAGAGGGAACCTCCAAGTGGTGGTAGTCGGACAATGTTGTATCTGTGTATACGATAGCTAATACAATGTACCCTCAAAAATAGTTGTTTGTTGTTTTTTCAATCGAGCCGCTTTCAATTCAAAGAATTCCCCCATTTAACTTTTAAAAATCAGGTCTGAATACATAAAAACACAAATTATGCAAATGTAAGTGTCTATATTTAAACACTGTGCCAATTTTTTTTTTTTATCAAAATTTAAAATGAAAATGAATTTAAACTTTAATTTTTTAATCAAATTTAACTTGTTCATTAAAACCAATTGATTAGAAAACCCAGATGCAGCATAGAATAATCATGCCAAATTTTATTGAAATTGGTAAAGAAAATACAGATCTGAGAAATAACAAGAGCCCCAATGGGCCTGTATCGCTCACCTTGTATTAATCTCACAATTGTTACCTTAAGAGTGGACTAAATTAAAGCTACAGGCAAAATATCAGTGCATTGACTTATGTCATTCAAAAGAACCTGAACCGGACATGAGTTGTGGTAAGGAAAGAGTTAAAAGATTAAAACACATTTGACCCATGTGAATTTAAAAGCCAAACATGGCAATTTAAATTGAACAAACTATAGCCTTTCTCATAGAATGCAACTTGTCAAACATCATCCTAATGGCCCTATACCTTTTGTTTATTGAGGTGACTTTTAAAGATGTATACACTGTGGGTCAGATGTGACCTTGAAAGTATGTCAAGGTCATTCACATGAACAAAAGATCACCCTGGAACCTTAAGTTGTTCAAAAGTTGTTTTTAAGACAAATAACCCCAGTGACCTTGAATATGAGTGAAGGTCATTTGAAAAAACTCTGTAGCCCTTTATCCCAGCATGCTACTGGCCAAATATCTTCAGCCTGGGCCTCTTGGTTATTTAGAGGAAGTTGTTTAATATTTTAAACATATTTGGCCCTTGTGACCTTGACAATAGGCAAAGGTCATTCATTTGAACAAAATTGGAAGCTCTTCATCCCAGCATGCTACTTGCCAAATATTATCAGCCTGGGTCTGTTGATTATTAAGAAGAAGTTGTTAAAAGTGTTCAACATATATGACCCCTGTGACCTTGAATATGAGTCAAGGACATTTCCTTTCGCAAACTTTGTTATGCTTCATCCTAGGAACCTATCAGAGAGGTCAACAATATTTTAAAGGATTTGTTCTTAAGAACTAAAAGAAATGGATTCATAAGATTTGGCTGGTAGCTTTTTGGAATAGACCTAACCAATTTGAGAAGGAAAATGACATTGACCTGCTCTTACAAGGTTGCAGGAAAAAACATGTCAAGCAACTTCTGAAGAAGAATCAAAAAGCATGGAATCTTAAAATAATATTTTGCTGGTAGTTTCAACAGATGGAGCCATCAAAGTTTGCGAGGGAAATGTTTTTAGTGCAACATTATATTTAATGAGAATATTTTTGCTTTGACTAATTAAATATTCAGGTGAGCGATACAGGCCCTCTTGGGCCTCTTGTTTTTAACATTGGGGGTATTTGACTCATGTGATCTAAGTGGGTCACTCTCATTCCCTAAACAAACTTGATAGTCCTCCATTCCAAAATACCACAGGCCGAGCATCATTACTCGAAACCTCTCGGTAGTTTTGAAATATTTGAACACATTTATTCCTGATGACCTTTGGAATGCCTCTTTGTTGATCAAAAATATAAACACACGCAGCATTGAAATTGTCACGATCATTGATTTGAAACTAAACTTGATCGCTCTTCATTTCAGCATGCTTCAGACCAAATATCTTGACCTCTCGGTTATTCAAAATAATTTGTTTAAAATTCATTATGTTATACATCAAATAACATGCCCCTAGGTCTTTTGGTTCTTGAGAAGAAGTTGTTTATCAAACATTAATTGACTGGGAGCATCAGAAGAGGGAGGTGGCATATTGGCGCACTTTCGTTCACACAGGTCAGTTAAAAATGACAACGATATCTCAATTCAGTTTCAACTTTATTGAACAACAGAAAGGGTACACACAAAAAGCTTTTTGAATATTATAGCAATATACATATTAGGTATATTGTACTTTGCATACACTTTGAACACATTAGTGATACTCGGTACGTCCTTTGAGGCCATGATAATAATTTCATCAATTTATACAGATTATCTTAGAAATTAGGGACAACATATAAGCACTGTCTAAACATTTCTTTGAACTTATACAACAATCAGAAGACTTGAGAAACAGTTTAGCATTTTAAAGCTATAGTATTTGGGTTTTTTTTTAAATATGATGCATTTTTTTTTAATTTCTTGATATCCATTGAGTAATAAAATTTAATATGTGAAAAAAAGCTTAGATATATACATGTAATAGCATGTCCTTAATCTTTGTATATTTTCTAAATCGTAAATTAATCAAATTGAATCAAATTCATTTCCTTTTACACATCTACAGATGAAAGCCATACTAAATCTTTCCCACTGGAAACTTCTTGAAATGGACTAAAGTAAATGCACATATAACTAAAATTTGAAGCAATGGGCGTTTTTGGTTTGTTTGAATGATTGTTTTCGTAATCATTTTTGCAAATGCATTACTGACAAAATGTATCATCTTCACAGTAAATGTTTTCAACTGAAATAACTGGATGGAATGAATAATATAAGTTTAAACTTTGTGACACTTTACATAGACCTAACAAAGGGTTTTAACCACGGGTTACAAACTACTACAAACGACAACATGTAGTAACACACAGTAGCAAACACCATTCCAACAATGGACAGGGCTACCAGTTGTTCTCAACAATACTTGGGATAGGACTGTCACAATAAATCGGAAAAAGGGTATATCACAATACACAGGGATATTGTATCGCAATACAGAAATGAAATGTCGCTGTTTCGTAATTTACAAAAGCTTGTTCCTATACCTCTGCTAGGTGTTGTAAATTTGCAAATTCCAACACGTTCTAAAATATATGTTGATCACCTTACACAGGGTTATTTCTATTGGTGGGAATCAGTTAAAATTTCATAACGATGGTTGATCTAAGAAAAACAGTAAATCTGTGTTATCCATATTATATAAAAGATACAGTTTGATAACATTCTGACAACAATTTCTATTTAAAATGAACCCCTTTTTCCTTTGACAATATATCAGTATATGTATAACAATACATTCCTTCTTTTTTTTCTAAACATTTTCTTCATGTTGGTAAGTATGGATTATGAGAAGTTCTTTTTACACAACCAATACAATTTTCTATGCGACGTTTCGATGACTAGTACGAAATGTACACTGTTACCTTCATCAGACAAATGACCAGTGAAGCGTATGCACACAAAGGTGTAAAATGTGTACGAGTTGTCCATAAAATCAATGTCGATTTTGGCTACGCTGGAAACGTATGTACAATAGTTGTTATATATGTACTGAAATGACTTAATTCAGCTACGCTTTGTTAACACTTGGTCATAGATGTGCGAGAGTCTTTGAGCCCCCTCGTCTCGAATACATTCCTTCTGTATTGCAATATGCCCGGTAATGTGATACACTCTAGGCGTATTGTTTCACTCCTAATATGGAATGTTCACTGCAATCAATTTGACTAGATGGAATGTTCAATAAATCATGCTTTCTATATAAGTCTGCATATTAATGATAATACATAAACATATTCATGATTGTAAATATTACATATTCATAATTTTTAATAAACATGTATATATATCATTTACTTTAATAAACATTTATGGAATATTGCGTATTCATGATTGCATATATATATTAACATCTTCATCTTTAGAGATCAAAATATATATACATTCATTATTGTGAATAATTAACTAATTTCAAGAAGTATATAAAACATAATCACACATGTATACATGTGAATGTGAATAAACACATATAAATATATTGGTTTTCAGGACTTAAATATAAAGTAAAATATCACAGAAATACAACACGCAAGATAACTTTTGAAGCTTTGCAAGAAACAACCAACACAAATATCACGTTAATACTAGGAAAATCAATCATGTACATAAAAACTGAGTGCCCTTAAATAGCATGCTATGTAATTTAAATTCGACGATATAATCACTTTTTGGTTTACAGATAATAGTTTGCTGGGAGAACAAATACATGTTCAAGAGATTAAATATATTCTTTTCAATTTTATTGAAGACTTCAGGGATTATCTCTTCTGCAGAAAAAGTTGTCGGTGGATTATTAATATGAACTGTCAATTCATACAGATATGTTGTTTATATTAAATACTTTAAGAATCATCATATAGAATATGTTTAAAAAAAAAGTTCAAAAACATAATGACATGTACACTGCAATAAATAGATTGTTGATTTTGATTTACTTCACCCAACAAGGTGAAAAACACTGATAAAAGCATTGAAAAACAAATTGTAAAAAATACCACTTACAAAGCATTCCAAATTCAAACATTTTGTGACAGATTCAAACACAATACTGGAAAGACGTCAAATTTCATGCTGTTTGGCAAGAAAAGTCTTATGGAATTTTAATGCTTGAAAAAAACAATTGGCAAAACAAATATACTAATTAACTCAATCACCCCTGAAGACATTTCAACCCTTCCAATCTAAAGGTTGGAATAGTTCATTATCAAATTTCAGGGCTGAATAAGTTAAGAGTTGATTAAACAGACTATATTTCATTTATAACAACAAACCTATTGAGATCAATACCATCAATTTACATACCCATGTATACAAAGTTATTGTCATCACATATTTTTAAGAATAAAGTTATCTTATATATTTTTGCTCTTGTTGAACAGGTTTTAAACAATGTTCTAGGTTCTGATTGCACCCAACAGGTATATTGCACACACATAAGTAGAATATTTAGTATACCATTCTCTCCTTTCATTTCCAATTGTCCAGACCCTATGAATAGTAGTCTCTGACTAAAATATAGACGTCGACAACGGTGAGTTATCAAACAGCAGAAAAAAGCTAAAATTCAAACAGGCAAAAATAACATAGGCTATTAATTCATAAACTAGGTCTGAACCGATATCCCTTTCTGCTCAGTAAATAAAACTTAACTGTCTCTCGACATTAAATCTCAAAACGCTATCACAACACATAAAGACAAGGCGTTCCCAGGCCTCCGAGACCAGGTCAGAAAAAAAACTGCATAAGGAAGCTCTGATGGCGAATCTGGCATACATTCAGTGGTTTAAACAACATTTTCTTGTTATATTGCTGATATATCGAGATCTATATAATTTTAAGAACATATTCTGACAACATTCAATTTATATAGAAAATCTCACAATATTAAATTCAATATCTACTTCATTTTAGATTGTTCTAAATATTTATTTCTTATATTGAAAAGCAAAGGGAATTTTATAGATATTAAAAAGCAAGATTATATAAAAAAAAAAATGTTTGTAATTATTGATCATCATAACTGAATTATATGTTTTACAGTGAAAAGTAATAACAAACGGAGCAGTTATCACCCCTGTATCGGTTACCTATATCAGCCTTTTTCAATTTTATCCTCAAAACTATGGTAAGCATGATTCACTAATAAATTAAATAGTGAATACATTTTACAAATACAACTACAAATATAAAATTTTGCTATTTTTCTCTTTGTTAATAACCTTTACTCAATGAAATCAACACTTGTAGAAATTAAGCTCAAAATTACACATTTGAAGGAAAATCTGTGAAACTTTCATGAACATTTTTTCATCAAAGTCCTTCATCATATCTCCCATGTCTTCCATACATTTAACTTCAAGTTCTTGCAAGTTTTGTACGATCATAAGACCTTTCGGGTCATCCTTGTCAACTAGTGTTTGCAGATTTTCATGTCCGAGGTACAAAGGGTGCTTTCGGTCAACTTGTTCCTGGAAGCGAGGCATTTTCTTGACTGGGTCATCAGCACCATATGAGGGAGAAGTTGTCAGATCCCCAATGTTGGCCTGTGGGCAGAAGATGAAGGGTTTGAAGATACTGGTGCTGGGATTGGGTGTGGCTGTAAACCAGTGACAGGGGGGCGTGGCGGATCCCGGGGGTGGTAGCACAGACACCTGGCAAGCCATTGTTGTCAGAGTACCCCTCATGTTGATACCACTCGGCTCGTCACGTAGGATCTTACACATCTCCTCAACACCTATCTTTCCTGTCAATAAGACCAAATAAAGAGTTTCGATCCAGACACATTAAAAGACATTTATAAAAAATACACAGGGAGAAGTTGTCAAAATATCAAAATCTTCCTGATATTCAATATCTATATAAACATTATGAATCATGTGCCATGCTTAAAACCAATCCTTTGATATTTTAATAGGTATTTGACATATCTTAATTTAAGTACATGTACATAGAAATAATTTGATATGGATTAACATAAAAAGGACTTATTTCAAATGTACATAGCACTGAATGTATGTTGGGTTAATTAGAGGCTGATCAGCTGACTTGCTTCTGTTCAAACGTAAATTTCATTTCATTTACATTTCAAGAATTTATACTGTATATTTTTTATTAGTCAGCATTCCTTGCCTTTGATCAGGGACACATTTTTGCAGTAAACTGTATGCCACCTTCACAATCAATGTACACATATTTCATACCTAAAAACAGGACTCAAGTGTAAAAAAAATAGTATTTTGATCTTCATATGTTTCAAACCATTCAACACAACAAGAGGCCCATGGGCCTTAATGGTCACCCGATATATTTATACAGAGAGTTGATTTTGTTTTTAACATGAACAGAAATATTATTCAAAGTGACAAAAAACAATAAACCACCTTATTCAATATCTAGCATACAGATTTCAAACTAAAAAGTATTTGAAACTAGCACCTCTGATTCTAAACAAGGAAAATGAAGAAATTTTAGCACACTGACTCCTTTGAGCCCCACCCTACAGCCCTTGGGGGTAGGGCTGGCTCAAAATGTTCAAAGTATCAAACTGTCAACTTAAGGTTATAATTCCAATCAAGTTATTAACATGTAATATTCAAAGTATCATTTGCCATTATAAACCATAATAAATTTTG